AGAGAGAGAGAGAGAGAGAGACAGAGATAGAGAGAGAGAGATAGAGAGAGAGAGAGAGAGAGAGCCAAAGGAAAAGACACATAGACACGTATAAGTAGACAAAGGAAGACAGGCAGGCAGACGTGCAAACTAGTGGTCATGTGGCTATAACAAAAGAAAAAACAAAACGAAAAAACCCCCAGTATCATTAACAACTTAAGTGAGAGCATACTGATGAAACTTTTCTTCTTGTCTTCTTGAACCATTCAAATCATACAATTATTTGAAAACATTTTTAAAAAGTAAATGAAAAATGGCTTGTTTTTTTTTTCTTCTGGGGAAAATCATGTGCATAGAAAATGGAGAACTGATAGTAAATCAGATATTGTGGTGCGTTTTCGGTAATTATTATTTCAATGCGAGTGTAGAAGGGTTTAAGCTTATAACACATTCGATAGTCTTCTACGACTGACTGTTGAGACTGCCAAAATTTTGTATAAACCATGATCACAATATTATTATTTTTAAAAATTAATCCTACTACCGTGAAGACCTGAATCCTATAGGTACGAAAAACATTTTTGTACGTTTATTTCTCCTGACTATTGACTTGACAAATATGTTGAGAAACAAATATAAATTATAACTAATTAATACACTGAAAGTATCTGGCATTCATTTGTTTGTTTATTAATCTTTATGTGTTAAAAAAAAAAATGAGTAAACAAAGAGACTGACGTTTTATTAACCTTTTAAGTTGTTTTTTTCCAATATTTCAGTGCGAGGCAAAAATGATAATATATCTTATTTAGTGTTGTATCATAAAAATCAGGTGTGTACAAAATGAGTCCCCTGTGACTCGTACCTTTTATTATTATCCAAATGGTTTGTTTAGTTCTTGAACAAGAGAAACACACGATATAATGTCATTTTATTATTTGTATTGCAACATGTTCCAATGAGTATGAAGACATTCGGGGCAGCGAAAACTAATGCTAAGATTAAATAAACGTCGCTGTATTGTTCCATGAAGTTGAATGTATTGTGGAATTAGATGCTATGTCATGTAATTTGCTGATAACTTTTCGTGGTTTCAGTACAATGTACAATATAATTTTTTACTTTTGTAAATATGCCTCCCAAATATTCTATATGCTGCGTTGGAGTGAGATGGAATCTGAATGAGTATCGGCATGGAAAGTTCAGTGTGTATGATTTATGTTTTTCATGTAGATCTTTACTATGATCATCTTTAGCCAAAGGTTTGCATAAAGACGAAAGATTGGATTGCAAATATATTTGATTGCCAGTGATTTTTTTTGAAACACTATGAAAAATCTTGCAAAATATGTAAATCATTTCCCATGTACTCTGCTTGACATTTTCTGTAAATTGTGTTTTCATTTTGTGACGCTTTGACACTTATTGTTAGAATTCATGATGTTTCTTGTACCCAAAGCGGTGACAATCCATACGATTTTAAATAATACAGTAATGAAAATATGAGCCTACCTTGAGATATACCATGACATGCACTCTGTACCTCCTTATCTCATTTCATTATTTTTTTCCGAAGAGTTTGTTTAATTGTACAGGGATTGCCCGACGTTATATTGAATAGAGACTTGTCATTTCATTAGTTTACATAAACATTGACAAAAAAAAGTCCTGACTAGTAGATGGTATGTTTATCTTTACAGCTCTTCAAAATAGCACGATCAGGATTTTTACCCCGCCCATAATTGCACGTTTATGTGACAGAATGTAATTGTTCAAGGCTATATTATCCTAGTGACGAACATTATTTCATTGTTCCTTATAGAAATATGTTCTAAACTTGAAATTTTAGTTTCCTTTCAAGGTGATCGTATTTTGATAAGAAAAGAACGTAATTCAAATTTATTATGTGTTTTTTTTTCAAAAGCAGCCTTAAATTGAATGCCATTGTGCTCAAAACGAAATTCTCTCAAAGGCTATGATAACTCTTTCCGAACAAAAATGGTTTCAAGAGCATGCTGTCGTTATCTTATTTTTTTCACATTAGGTCCTGTTTCGATGCATCAGTCTTTAGGTGATAGCACCGCATAAATCGACGTCTTCTTTCTGATAGAGTCACATGAAGAGGCTAAGATGCTTTCTCTCCCTCCCAATCTCTCTCTGCCTTTCCCGCCCCGCCCCCCCCCCCTCTCTCTCTCTCTCTCTCTCTCTCTCTCTCTCTCTCTCTCTCTCTTTCTCTCTGTATATATATATATATATATATATATATATATATATATATATATATATATATATAAGATATATATATATCTGGATTACACCCACACAAACACGCACACACGCACACTCTCTCTCTCTCTCTCTCTCTCTCTCACACACACACACACACACACACACACACACACACACACACACACACACGTGTGCGCACGGGCGCACACACATACACACACATACTGTCTCTCTCTCCCCATCTGTCTCACTTTCTCTCACTTTTTTGCTCTCTCTCCAAGACACACGCATACACACACACACACACACACAGAAACACAGACATACACACACACACACACACACACACACACACACACACACACACACACACACACACATACATACACACACGCTTTCAAGGATACACTTAAAAATATACTGTATTTAAAAAGTCAAGGCTCTTGTTCATAATGTGAATTTCTTTGCATTTTTCATTGCATGTCAAAAGGTAATTAATATAATATATTATGTGCCTTATTCATCTATGTGTATTCCTTTTTGTAAGCTATGTCTGACTATGACAAATAGAATTCTATGTCCAACCAGTCTTCATCCTTTATCTTTAAAAAAATAAATATTGTGCAACATCCATGATTGAAGATGGTGCAGGCTCATGTATAAAATCTATAACTGCTGTCTTCTGTTCCGTTGTATTAATATGATCCTGAAGTTATAGTGTTTGTCTTTGTGATTTCACA